GGTATTCGTTTTCTAAACTGACTGTTTATTTCACTCTTCTGCTTAAACTTCTCTGTGGCTGCTCTGGTCCATGAGAGAGCAGAAACTCTTGAGTATAAAACTCACACATCATAATACAGCTGCCTCCTGCCCTCACCTAGCCAACTCTTTACATGAGTCTTGCTCTTGTGGTCTTTAAGCATTCGAGACTTTTTTTTTTCCTTTCCTCCTCTGGTTGGAACACCTACTATTGCAGGCTCTTATCCTTTCCCTGGCTTAATCCTGTGGATGTTAATTCACTTCTACAGAAGTCGTTCCTGACCCCCAAACTCCAGTGATGTCTTTCTTTTATGTGCTCCTTAGAGGCCTGCATTTTCCTCCTCCTAACTCTTCTCAGCAATGGTGGAATCACCTTATTCCCTCTGTTCACTTGAGTGGAAGGTCCTACGGGAAAGAGCTATATCCACCTATTATATGTGCAGGGAGGTTGGATAAGGGAACAGTGAGTGCTCACTCTGTAGATAAGGGAACAGTGGATAAGTGACGTACCTACCGTGTCTACAGAGGTGGATGGACAGAAGGAGATGGAGCAAGTCAGAAGTCTTGCTTTCAGCTGAGCTGGGCTTTCAGACTCGTCCTGCTGGCCCTGATCAAGTCTCTCTCTTATTTCTCACAGTGGCCACTTCAAACTTTCACCCCCATCTTCAAAGTATCTGACCTCTGTCTTGTGCCTCCGTAGCAAAGAACTTGCCTCTTTGCTGGAGGAGGAAGTGGCTTAGAGATTATTAGGCAGAAAGCCCTTCAGCTTTCTGTCCACCATTTCCAAACTGGAAACTTCTTGACTATCTTCTTTCCTCCCTTTTCCCTCAGAGGATAAGGTCTCCCCACTCCCCAAACAAGATCTGTGTCTTCCATGTTGTGCTGAGCCCTGAGAAGCTCTGGCCTTTGGTGGCTTGAGCCAGAATTCTGGGAGTTATTCCTAATACCTTCCTTTCCCTTGCTTCTCACATCCAATGAATTAATTCTATGAGTTCCACCTTCAAAAATACCTCTTAAATAGGCCCCATTCCATCGTCCCAATTGCCAGCCATTCATTTTCTTTTAKAACCAATACCACAATGACCATCTGTCCTGACTTCCCTTTGACTCCATTCTTTCTAGCTTATTCTCCTTACTGTCATTGGTATTCGTTTTCTAAACTGACTGTTTATTTCACTCTTCTGCTTAAAATTTCTCTGTGGCTGCTCTGGTCCATGAGACACCAGAAACTCTCTCA